TCCCTTGATGGGCCCATCCTCGACACTAGTCTGGATAACCTCAATCTCAGGTCCATTGATACCACGTCGAACAGCCTGCTCGACAGGAGCAGCAGCAGCCTCTTCTTCGGCCAGTGTGCCGCCAAACTCGGTCTTCTTCCTCTGCAACAACTTCCCTCTTCCTCCCTCCTTCTTGTCCATCTTCCTACACTCCTCAAATACATTCCTATACTTCTCCGCCAGCTTCGCATTCACAAGTGCAGGATCCCACTCAGGTGTCCACTCTAGCCCAGGCTGCGCCTCATACACATTCTTCTCCCTCAGCTGCATAATCTGCAACTCGGCCTCATCACCGCTCATCAGGTTGCTTTCAACTAGCACCACAATCTCCTCTTGAATACATTGGATCCGTGCCTCCCGGACCGCCTCGTCCATTGCCTTGCCGGCTGCTGCGTTGTTTAGCAGCTCCCAGCGTGATAACAACATGTCATGGAGATTTGCCAACGTGGGACCAGACGGGAAGAGCAGGGTGTCCCGTGTGCTGAAGCCGCTGCGCACATGGTCTGACATGCGCTTTTGCATCTCCCGAATGCGTGCCAGCAGCGCGTAGTACAGGTCCTGGAAGTCGGCGAGAGGACGCTCATGAACTTTGCCCGAAAAGACGTTGGCGTGCGTGCTCAGGTCCGTGTGGGCTGGCGTTAGGAATTGCGACGGCAGAGGCGAGGGCGCAATGTAGCCGTTGATCAGACGGGCGTGAAGTACGCGCAGACTCGGGGAGTAGGAGGAGTTGCTGCGTGGGCCGAAGAAGTTGCTGCGGTTTTCAATGGTGAGGAGGTAGGTGGAGAATGCGATCATGTTCTGAATCAAGAGGGTGGAGGGGAGGCGCTCACGGCAGGTGAGAATGCTGTGTTGGGTGAGGGCTGGGGTGAAGTCGCGGAAGGAGTAGAGGCCCGGGGTAGGGGCACTGGAGACGGCTGGCATACTGGTGGTGCTCTTGTCTCTTGGTGGTGTCAAAATTTTGATTGCTTTGAGTCGTCCGAAGGCGGTTTGGCCAACAGGATGGTATCGTAAACTGGCAAATTGCCGTACCTCTTCGTCAAATCTCGCCCTCGTATACTACTATCCCACTATCCCCCTCAAACCAATAGCCAACCTTCCCCTAGATCAGCCCTTTCTTCACAAGCAACAAGCAGACACAAGAATTTCCCCTCAACCAAATCCCTCGTGAATAAGCCAAAACACACACTTCTCTCACGTATATCCCCAGCAACTTTGTACCCGCGCCTTGAAAATTCTTCTTGTCGTTTTGCAGCGACGTACACTACGAACTCTGCTATTCAGACGCGAAGAAGAAGAAAAGACGTGGACGTTGCGCTCAAGTGTTCGCGTCGATTTTTGTTGGAGTTTTTGGAATTTTTTTTCTTGCTGGGCAGAGGCAGGATGGAGAAGGTGTGGATGTTTTCAGGGGGCGCCGGGTATGCTGAGGTGGGAAGTCGGGGGGTTGGGATGGTGGTGAGGTGGTGAAGGTGAAGCTTGAGACGGATGGGAGGGGAAGGCGTCATTGTGGATATTCGGGGCGAGGGGGAGGGAATTGGATAGGGGGATTGTGGAGATGGGGTGGGGTGGTGATTTTGTTGTATATGTGTGTTGAGGACGGAGGGTCTGGCGAGGGTGAGGGAGAAAGGGTAGGTGAGTGGTTGTCGGTTTTGTTGGTGGTTGGGGAGCCGGGTGCCGTCTTAGATACCGGTAGTCGCCGTTTAGTCTCGCTAGCCACGTGATTGCATAGTATGGTGAATGGCGTTTGCGCTGTCGGGTTTGCTGAGGAATACTGCGTGTCAAAAGTTAGGCAGACGCATTGGTCTTTCCCTGGTGACTCCGATTTAGTCTCATGTGCGTTCCTCCCGCCGGTGCGCCTGTATTCGGACGCCAACTATCACCATTCTTTCCATCGGGCCTTACTCTTGCGAATTTTCCAGTGCTCTTGTTACTATGAGAAAGTCTTGTTTCTCCAATTAGACATGATTTGTGACCAATGAGGCCACTGCCAGTCGGGATGTTTGATTCCTGCAAAGTCATCCCACTTTCACCTCACTACGGTACAAAACTGGTTTACAGTAGCCATATTTATCTAAAGTAGACCACAAAGTAGTTTAAGTATAAGAAGTAAACCTAAATAGGGTTTACTATACTATATATTCTATAAAGGTAAACTACTTTTTAGTTTATATATTATTAGTATTATATATATTAACTTTAGCGTCTATTTAAATATAGTTTATATAATATACCTAATTATAGGTTATATAGTAGATAGATATATAGCACCTAGGGGGAAAATTTAGTGTAGATAGAGGGCATGTAGTAGGTATAATTTAGTAGGGTTACTATATAGGAAGTAGTACTAGTAGATACCTATAACAACTTAGGTAGGTAGGGCATCTAAAAGGTATCCTATACGACTTAAAGGCATATAGGAGTGCGCGTCTGTATAGAAAAGGATAAGATTCCTACACCTATAGGTCTTGTATAAAAGGACAAGAAGAATATACCTATCCTAACTATAGGCGAGCTATTCTCTATATATATTAGTAAGTTAGGCCTTTATTAGGCCTAACTTAGTATAGAATAATAGGTAAGTAATTCTACCTTATTATTATACTACCCCCTCCTATAAAAAAAGAATAGTCCTTATCCTTAGGATTAGGTTTAGATCCCTTATTAAAGAAGAGCTTTTTACAAAATAATTCTACCTTTACCTCTATCTTTACTTTTACTTCTTCTTCCTAGGGTATAGACCCCTATCCCTAGCCTATATATAACTAGCCCTTTACCTACTAACTTTCTTATTCTTATATCCCTAATTTTTTAAATATTTAACCTAATCTATCTAAAATCTAGTAAGTATTTAATCTATATAATTAAATAGTTACTAATCTAAATTAGAACCTTTAGCTATACTAGTACTAGTACTACTAGAAGTCCTCCCTATTACTTATCGCGCTCTCTATATAAGAGTAGTTAGGGCTCTAGCTAGGGGTAGGTTTAATAATTTTAATTTTAAGTTAAAGAATTCTAAGAAGTACTAGTACTATATCTCCTAGAATAAGTATTATAATCTAGTAAGTATCTAAGTCTAATAGGGTTCTTTTACTAATCCTAGTAGATTCCTTCTTTTATTAGCTAAGAGTACTCTACCCTTAGGGGTGCCCTAGAAGAGTACTATAGCTTAATAGGAAACCCTACTAAAGGGGATAAGGATAATAAGGCTATAGTTACTTATTAGAAGGATATTAAGTAGTTTAAGGCTACTATTTAAGAAACTACCTAAAACCTTACTAAGTATATTACTATTACTAATACTTAGACTAAGGGTATAGAAGCTACTAAGATCCTTATAGCTATATATTATACTACTATATCTAATTTATATTAGCTTTAGAATAGTATCTATAAGATAGTCTTAGTAGTTAGGGGCTTAATAAGGGCTATTAAAGAACTTAAGGAGGAATTAGTGCTAAATTAGGAGGTAACCTTTTTAGTATAGGCTAAGATAAAGGCGTTTTATAAGAAGGAATCTAAATTAGTCCTAGCTCCTATCCCTACTTCTATACCTACTCTAATCCCTACTATACTAGTTATCTAGAAGCTAGTAAAGAAGGATAGTCTAGGTGCTATCTTAGCTAATATAGAGTCTAAACTAGGTTCTAATAAAGAGATAGATATAGAATAAAGAGGTTTCCTAGAGGTAGTGTCCTAGGAACCTTAAAGGATCTAAATAGGATATAATAATAAATAGTAACAAGAATAATAGTAATAGATAGTAGTTAATAGATAAAGCGTAGCTAAATAGGATATAAATTAGTTCTAATATTAGGTATAATTATTATAAAGTAATATTAGATCCTCTTTACCTTTTTCCTAGGCTTAAATCTATTTTAGTAAGCTATATAGGGGACCTAGCTAATTTAGATACTATTAGTAGAATACCTATAATTTATAGGGAGCACCTATAAAGTTAGAGGTAGGATACTAAATAGGATTAGGATTATATCTAACTTACTTAACCTTATATTTTAACTTAGATTAATATAATTTGCTAGCTAGGATTTCTTCTACCTTCTATTCCTCTACACCTTATATAGGGGTACTAGGGGGTTTTAGAGCCTCTTATCTAGGTAATAGGTCTTAGGGATCTTTATATAGTATATTAGGAGAAAAAATATTATAGATCTTAAAACTAGGTAGCAATTAGAGGTAATACGCGTCTTCACTACTTATCCTAATACCTTAAAGGGGCCTTCCTATTATTTAGATAGTTTTTAGCTAGGTTATAAAATAGCAAGATTAGTAGTAGATAGGATAAATATAGTTACTAACCTTCTAGTTAACTAGATAGTAATAGTAATTAGTAGTAGAGCGTATTTAGTCTTAAGCTCTTTCTATATTTTCTTTAGTAATCTTCTAGGCGTTGTGTATCTAAGTAGTAAGGGATAAGGCGTCCTTATAGTTTAGTTTCTCTAGTATAGTAGATAGGGTCTTTTCTAGTTTCTAATACTAACTTTACTTTAGTAAGGAACTAAAGAGGAGCTAATATAGGGCTATACTAATAGATAAATATAGGAGAGTACTTTAGGCATAGTCTATTATAGGTAGTAAGTTACTCTAGTTATCTTAGTAATAGGATATAAAAGGCCTTAGTCTCTAATTAATATACTTATTTATAATCTTAGTTTATCTATTAGTTTATTTATAGTAGGTAGTAGAGAGCTTAACTTTAGTACCTATAATCTAACAGAATTTAGACTAGAAACTAGATATAAACTAAGGGCCTTAATTAGAAATAATAGTATCTAGAGTATGTCTAAATTAGTATACCTACTAAATAAATAAGGTAGCTATACCTTAGGTATCTATAGTTTTATAGCAAGGGATAGTAATAGCTTACTTTAATAGGTAATTAATAATAACTATAATCTAATTATAACCACGTTAATCCTAGGGAAAATCCTTAAAATTAATACACAAGTGTTGTATTAGTAGACTAGGGATAGGAAGGGGCTAGAGTATGCTAGGGAGTTAGTGCTATCTTAGGTACCCTCTCCTGTATAGGATATAGTTCTAAACGTAGCGTTTATAGGTAGTCTCTATACCTTTCTAGTAGTAATATTAGGCTAGAATCTAATAGGTTTTAGTAGCTAATAGGTAGGTAGTAGATACTTAATTATAAGCCTTATAAATTAGTCTAGTATATAGGACTAATCTAGTAGGCACGTAAAGTTAATCCTAGTAGAGAAGGAGTCTATTTTCTATCTAATAGTGCTTAGGTAACTCTAATCTTTCTATTAGGAATAAGGACCTATTTTCTTAGAGAAGAGTTTTAATAAGTTCTAGGGATTTAAGAGTTATAGGGTTCTAAACTGCTATAATTAAAGTAAGGATTAGTAAGGAACGCTTAGCTAGGTAGTCTTGCGCTAAGTTAGAGTTAATTTAGAGGTATAACCTATCTAGGGTAATTATTACTTATAAATAATTATCCCTCTAAGTAGTCTTAAGGTTAACTATATCCTGTTCCCTTCTGCTTAGGATATCTACTTAGGTGTTGTGAGATCTAGGAGTATACTTAATTTAGAAGTTAAAGGGACTTATAACCTCTAGCTATCTAGCTTGCCTAGTACTAAGGACTTTAGTAGATATAAAGTACTCTAGTGCTCTATAGTCTGTGTATACTCTAATAAGGTGCTAAGTACTTATTAGGTTAGCACGCTATTTCTTAAAGGCGTAGATTATTATAAATAATTCTTTATTATAGATTTCCTAGTTAAGTTTAGAACTAGTAAGGGTCTAACTAAAGAAGGATATAGGGTACTATTTCCTATTAGGATACTCCTATAAGAGGATAGCTACAATAACTCTATTAGAGGCGTCTATCTCTAGTTTTAGAGGGTACTTAGGATAGAAGTAAGCTAAGCTTAGGATTGCTAGTAGGGCATTCCTAAGCTAGTTAAAGGCTTATTAGTATTCTAAAGTCTATATAAATAGGGTAGCAGGACTCTAGAGAGCGGTTAAGGGCTTAGCTGTCTTAGAGAAGTTTTCTACAAATTGCTAGTAGAATCTAGTAAATCCTAGGAAGGACTTTACTCTAGTTATTATCTTAGGAGCAGACTAGTTTTAGAGTACTTTAACTTTATTAGGATCTACCTCTAAGCCTCTATTAGTAAGGATATATCTAAGGTAATAGGTATAGGTTATATAGAATTTGCTTTTCTTAATATTAGCCTATAATCTAGTAGAATAAAGATAGTTAAGGACTTTTTAACTATAGTCCTTATAAGTAGTAAGGTCTTTAGAGTAAATAAGGATATTATCTAGATAGGTAATATAGAAGTTATCTAAATAATCTATTAGTATATTATTTATATAGCACTAATAGGTTATAGGTCTATTATATAGCCTAAATAGTAGGACTTTATATTTATAGGCACTATACCTAGTGTAGAAAGTAGTATACTCCTCTAAGTTAGGGTCTATTTAGATCTTATTAAAGGCAGTATAAATATCTAGCTTAGTAAAGATTTTTACTTTAGCTAGCTAGGATAATAGATTATCTATATAGGGTATTAGATACGCATCCTTTCGCGTTAAGCTGTTAAGCTTATAGTAATCTATATAGATCCTAAGGCCTCTATTTAGCTTCTTAATATATAGGATAGGAGAGGTAAATAGGCTCTAACTAGTCTTAATAAAACCTTTCTATAGGTGCTCTTGTATATATTCCTTAGTAGCCTAGAGTTCCTTAGTATTTTAATAATAGAGGGGACTCTAGTAGTTTAGAAGGGGTTCCTCTAGGACTATCTTATAGTTATAAGGCTAATAGATTAGAAGTTTGTTAGCCTTAGCCTTATTAAAGACGTCCTAATAGGAGTTATAGTTAGATAGGAGCTTCTAATCTAGTAGGCTGTTATTAAGAGTGTCCTATTTAGATAGGGTTTAGATCCTACGCTTAATCTTATATAGGCTAGTAGTAAAGAATTTATTA